GGGGATTGAACCCGCAACCGTGACCTCCTGGGTCATAAGTTGCTCAACCACTGAGCCACGCTTGCCAGGCAGGATAGTAATTTTTGAAAATGCTTTTCTGACCTTACTTGCCACCATCCTATTTTTGTTATGCACAGGAAGTGTAGCTCTCCTGTTAGTTGATTCAAATGAATTGCAGCCATTTAAAATAATTTTTTTAACAAGCTGGTTTGCCACAATAAAGAAATATATATAGCCCTAGCTCAGTGGTTCTCAACCTTCTGGCCCTTTAAATACAGTTCCTCATGTTGTGACCCAACCATAAAATTATTTTCGTTGCTACTTCATAACTGTAATGTTGCTACTGTTATGAATCATAATGTAAATATCTGATTTGCAGGATGGTCTTAGTTGATCCCTGTGAAAGGGTCGTTCGACCGCCAAGGGGTCGTGAACCACAGGTTGAGAACCACTGCCTGGTTTGGTTCAGTGGATAGAGCATCAGCCTACAGACTGAAGGGTCCTGGGTTCAATTCCAGTCAAGGGCACATGCCCAGGTTGCAGACTTGGTCCCCAGAAGGGAGTGTGCAGGAGGGAGCCGATCAATGATTCTATCTCATCAGTGATGTTTCTCTCTCTCTCACCCTCTCCCTTCCTCTCTGAAATCAATAAAAATAAAAAATAAAAGAAGCCGATAATGGCATCAACTTCAAAATATTGATTTAAAGATTAAGTGCAGGTATACAATCCCTTTTCAAATTCCTTGGGATCCATCATGTATTCCTGAATTTTTTATGGAATAGGGTAATATGCAAACCATTTACTAACCAACCCCCTCAGTGTGCCCTGGATCAGCAACAAATGAACAAAACAAACTCATAGACACAGACAACAGTATGGTAGTTACCAGAGAGGAAGGCAGTGAGGAGAGGAGCAGAGGCCAAATGGGTCAACTATATGGTAATTCAAGTTGAGTACACAATATAATGTATTATAAACATGTACAGCTGAAACTTATATTAACCAATGTTATCCCAACTAATTCAATGTAAAAAACACCAAAGCACAGGGCTCACTTAAGGCAAAGATAACCCCTTTGCTAAGGAAACTATAGACATGACTACCATTATGACCTACTCAGTTAGGAATTTATGACCACACCGCCATGTGGTTACTCTCACCGGGCTCATCAGGCATGCCAAGTAGCCCCTGAGCTTGTCCAGTTTTCTACATAGTCCCTTTTTCATTCATACCTCTTATTTACTACTAGAGGCCCGGTGCACAAATTCGTGCACAGGTGGGGTCCCTTGGCCTGGCCAGCGATTGGGGCTGACAGGGGTGGGAGGGGCACGGGGGGTAGTGGGGAGGTTAGCTGTGGAGCTGTGGGAGCGCACTAACCACCAAGGGACAGTTCCTGCATTGAGTGTCTGCCTCCTGGTGGTCAGTGCACATCATAGTGACTGGTCATTCGGTTGCTTAGGCTTTTATATAGATAGATTACTTGAGGATTCTAAATTAAATGTATCTTACTAGGGAGTGGGGCAGTATGATGAATAAATTCTGGACAGCACTAGAATAAATTCTCTGCATTGAAATCAGAATACTGAAGCGTTTGGGGTTTCTGTGTGTAATCTGTTTGTTTTGAAAAAAAAGTAAGTATTAAGAAGATACTTTTAATTTCCATCCTATCTTGTTAAAAGATCTTTGTTTGCTAAAAGGTAACATGGATTTGTATAAAAACAATAGCTTACAAGTACTTTAAGGGATTAAGTTGCATAGTTCAAGAGTATAAGCCCCAATATAAACTCAAAAACGGTAGCATATCTGTTATCTGAATATAGAAATATTGTAAGACATTTAGGATATATTTTGATACTGTTTAAGATCTTTTTTAAAAATATATTTTATTGATTTTTTTTACAGAGAGGAAGGGGGAGAGATAGAAAAATCGATGAGAAACATCGATCAGTTGCCTCCTCCACACCCCCCACTGGGGATGTGCCCACAACCAAGGTACATGCCCTTGACCAGAATCGAACCTGGGACCTTTCAGTTCACAGGCCGATGCTCTAGCCACTGAGCCAAACCAGTTAGGGCTGTTTAAGATTTTTAAAAGACACAAAAATCATCCTTACAGTAATTGCCAGTTATAATCAGTAAGTCTTAAAATTGTTTTCCAACAATACATCTTAATTAGAAAACTATGCTTAATAGTAATAGTCTTAATAATGCCTACTAAAATTAGGGCTTATCCTCATTTTCTTAAAATATGAATTCCAAACTTATGCAAGTTATATTATCTTCATAAAACAGTACCAGCTCCATTCATTGGTATTGGCCACTTTAAATTAAGTCAAAAATGAAGTACATTATTATTATTTTAAAATTTTTATTCAAATTAGATCCATGCTTATTTACATTTCATTTAAAATTAAAATATTTATCAATTTGTAGTTTAAATCATACTTTCAGCCCTTTACAAAATTTTATAACTTAAAATTGAATAGTGAAAATTAATTTTTTAAATAAAAATGAAAAATTACGGTATTATAGTACAAATGTATACATACTAAACAAACAAGTAAAACAAGATAAAGTGTCTACAGTCATTTTGTTTTCTTATGGCTACTTTCTAAATACTATAAATCATATACTTCTAATATTCATTATTAATTTAATTAATAAATCAAATGCCAATTGAAGGATCATGAGAACAAATTTTTCCTGAACATTCATTTTCTTTTAATGTATTTTCATTGATTTCAGAGAGGAAGAGAGAGATGAAAACATCAATGATGAGCATCATTGATCAGCTGCCTCCTACAAGCCCCACACTGGCAATCAAGCCCGCAACCCGGGCATATGCTCTAATCGGGAATTGAATCATGACCTCCTGGATCATACAGGTCGACTGCTCAACCACTAAACCACACAGACTAGGCTCAACATTCTTTTCATTTAACTACAAAAACTAATGTTTCCTTAAGTCAGAAATTATCCATACTTAGAATATCTTAAATCACAATATAGATACATTCCTCCATGTGCTAAATACTGTTAACACTGGAAGTTCTCAAAACAGAAGCAAAGGGGGAAAGGGAATGGTATTCTCAATTTAGTTTCCCCAGAGTTGGAAGGACGCCTAGCACCTGTGCTTAGATGTTTAGACATAAAAACAATGTTCATACCTCTTTTACTCTTCTTTCATATTCTTGAAATTAAGATTTATAGTATCTTTGTTTTCTTCCAAGAATAGAAACATCTAACTGCAAACTATATTCTTATCCATTAAAATATTATTTTTTTAGAATACAGACAAGCCTTAATGACAAAGTAAAATATGGCAACCAATATTCAATACATATTCTTTTATTTAGTGGAGTCTTTCAAGAAATTGATTTAGGATACTTCTCAACTTAAAAATGTATTGAGATATCTAAGTTTACAGTAAAATAGGATTAGTATGAATATCAACTATTCACTTGCAGATAAAGAACATATGGTAATATACAACCAGAGATTAAATTAGCTTCTTTGAATTTTTTAATTAAATAAATTGAAAACTCTTTAAAGTTTTAAGTTGAACTGGTTTTATTAATGTTAAGAAGGATTAAGAGAAGAGAATGTTTAATATGAAAATAGATCATATCGTTTTATTTAAATTTTTCCCCACAACTAAAGTGTTTTTTCTCTCACTAATGAATATTTTAAAAACAATTTCATAATTCCTAAACTTCTAATTTCAAACATTTGTCAGAATTTTGCAACTTAAGTTTCCTATATCTTCTAATTCTGAATATTTCTTATTGCTATCAGTCTTGCCATTCCCTGTCAGTCCCTGAATTTAAAAAAAAAAAAAAATCAAGGTGACAAAAAGCAATTACACTGATCTTACCACTAAAATATAGAAAGTTAATTTTATGAATTTGGCTCACTTTGGAAGAATATTTACTAATGCTAAATAAACATCAGAAATCCAGTGCCAGAAATACGGTCTGGAATACAAAAAGAAAAGAAAAAGAATGTCCACTTGAATTGCCCTGAAAAGCATTCCATTCCTTAACATGGCTTACTTATAGTTATACTCCAAAGTTCTAGTGTTTAAAATTTAACTCACAATTGAGAGTATTTATTTTGTAAGTAAAGGCAGCTACATGACTTTCAGTAATAAAAGGTATTAAAATTAAAATATTTCATAAGTATACAACACAGACTGGTTAACTTCTGAATAAAATAACATTTGGAAGAAGGCACAGCTATTTTTAAAAGCTATTTTGCCCTATTTTTGTGTTTAAAGGTTCAAGAAAAAAAATAAAATTACACAGAATTGCAAATGCCAAATTTAAATTGATTCCTACATTTTGTTATGAATGTTCTATAACATTCACTTTTAATGTACTAAAAATAAGGTTTTACAAAATGTGAAAGTATTTTCAAGAGAAAATTATATTAACAATTTTATTATGTTGATTCATTTCATAGGGTAGTACAAACAAAACCTCTTCAAAATTGCTTAAATGTTACTGATACCATCACAAATCATTCTGAGCACATTTTCCCCATTATCCAACCATGCCTAGATAACTGCATAGCTTAGCTTTCTCCAGACAGTAACACAATTTGTACAGACTTAATTGTGGAATCTGAGTAAAATAAATCTTGACCACAAAAATGTTTTAGTTTTTTTGTTGTTGTTGTTAATCCTCACCCGAGGATATTTTTTATTAATTTTTAGGGAGAGTGGAAGAGAGAGGGAAAGACACAGAGAAACATTGATGTGAGAGAAACACATCAATTGGTTGCCTCCTGCAGGAGCCCCAACCAGGGCCTGGGCCAGGAGGAACCTGCAATCAACGTATGTGACCTTGACTGGAAATCGAACCCAGGACCCTTTGCAGGTTCTATCCACTGAGACACAAACCGGCTAGGGCCACAAAAATGTTTTTAACTTAAATTATTCATCCTTTAGTCTCCTGTGTCAGTGTGACTTCTACTTTAAAGGAAAAATATTAAGTTCAAAATTTAGTAACAGGAAGTTTAATATTTTTTTAAAATTGGACACTTAATGTCCATTTTCATGAGTAGTAAATAGAAATGTTGAAGATTTAAGTGTGAAAGATTTCAAAGTTTCAATATGTCAATATCACTCATTAAATGTTCTCAATATATACAAACATATAAATTACAGATATAATTAGTTTTTATCTATAATACAATGTATGAACACCATTCTTCTTCCCCAACCATACTGACATAAGGATAAAGTAATAAATCTCGGTGCTATTCATGGAAAAAAAAAAAGATGCTTTAAAAAATAAATCTTTAAAGATAGTTTCAAAAATAAAGTTCAAATATTGCACAAAATAATTTAACTGCAAATATTACTATATACTATAAAACTTTTTCCAATGTTTTATCTCTATAATAAATTCCACTTTCTAATTCTACAAGAGAATTTATTGAAAGTCTGCATTTAGTTATTAAATGATTACATTCAGTTTGATGGGAATGTAATTTTCAGAAGTTAACTGAGCCTCTGTCTTAAAAGTTCGTCTATTTGAGTCTTATACATATTTTTTACATCTTCAAGATCTAATCGAAGTTCTTCCGCCTCTTCTGCTTTTTCTCCATACATCTGCAAAATAGTGTTGTATCTCTGATCCAAATCCTACAAAACAGATTTGTTTACAATTTGTAAAGTAACTGTACAGAACATCTTGATTATATTTATATTATCATAAACAAGTCACCAATAAATACATTACAATCTAAATAAAAGTATATAGTCAACTCTTATGAAAATTAAATTCATACCCTAGTCTGTTGGAATAAACAGCAAGTAAAGGAACTTAAAGAAACCCCGTCAACATGGCAATCACTCTTCTGTCCCCCTACAGACTTATTTTGCATATTTGTCAGGCCATATTTCTTTACTTTTTAGGAAAACACTTAGTTCTATAGAAACTTCAAAGATTACCTTCGAAAGAAACTTTAAAGTGCCCTGGGAGGATAGGGATAGATTAAAGTAATTTCTGGCTAGCATTTTTAAGCTGCTCCCAACATCTTATTAAAATACCTGTAAAGACCATCTTAAAGGTAAAATGGCCACTTTCAACAAAATTATGACTCATAGCTGGTCAGCTTATGGTTTAGGTCTAGCAAGAATTTCTGCTAAGAAAAAGGCAAATCTGAAAAGAATTAGAATGTAGCATTCACTACTACGTATGTCCCCCACACATACAAACATACATTCAAGCACTGTCAACCCAAAAAGAGGTGTGAGAACACCATGTCATTCACAACCTGTGTCCTGACTCAAAGAAGCATCTGGTATAGAAAAACATTTCTCCAGGTGCATCAAGCAAAAGCACATGCAGGCCCATTAACCCTGGTTTTAGGAGCCATGCCTAAAGAAAGAGCCAGATGGAGATTTCTGCATAAAGTTGTTTATAGCACTTTTTAAAAAATATTTTATTGATTTTTTACAGAGAAGAAGGGAGAGGGATAGAGAGCCAGAAACATCGATGAGAGAGATCGATCAGCTGCCTCTTGCACGCACCCCCTTGGGGATGTGCCCGCAACCAAGGTACATGCCCTTGACCAGAATTGAACTTAGGGCCCTCCAGTCCGAAGACTGACGCTCTATCCACTGAGCCAGACCGGTCAGGGTGGTAGGCAGGAATTTAAAGAGAAATCAGGCTCAGGGAAAACGAGTGCCTTTGTCATCTTTAACTATATGGGCTCTTGTTTGAGCTGCACATTGCCCACTTCATATTGAGGATCAAAAGCCTTCAGAACACCAGGAGGATTTACCACCACCCACTCTTCCTGAAGTAGGGCCTATAAAGCCTGTAATACCTAAGGCCCCCACTCATCTGTCTTCCGTGTGGGAAGGCTCAGAAAGAAAAAGTATGGGAAATAAACATTTAAACCCCCAAGCCTTTTTCCTAGGAGGATTAGACCTATAGAAGTGCCCTCCAGCAGGCTGAACA